GTGTTAAAGGGATTATGGGAATTAAGCGTCAACACTCGCAGCATCCAGAGGTGGGATTAACACCCGGAGCAGATCACGTAAACAGGAACACACACGGTCAGTCACACTTTAAAGGGTATCAGGGTCAATCTCACACACACACAATGAGAGTGTGTCAATGAATGTGAGGAAGAGCTGATGGATCCACAAACACACTTAACATCAACACTTCTGAAGAGCAACTACACAATTTGTCCATCTCATATATATATATATATATACTGTACATATACACATACATATATATAGAGAGAGAGGACATAATTATATCTCTGCTTCTCATGTATATAGTAAGACCCTTTGATATTATATATATATATATATATATATAATGTAGGTAATGCTATTTTGTTATATTAACTATAACCCTATGTATGTTTATATTATCAAAGGGCCCCAGTATATACATGAGAAGCATGCAACATAATTATGTTCTCTCTCTCTCTGCTGTAAGGTACATCTTTTCTTACTCAGTGTTGCCGTGGTGATGGTAACTGTGCCATCATTCCTCCAGCCTGCCTGTCACGGTTACCAGGCAACAGGCTCCTCTCCCGGCAACAGCCTGTGACACTCAACAGCTGTAGAGTTATGCTGGAGGGTGTGTGTTTGTGTGTGTGTGTGTGTGTGTGAGAGAGAGAGAGTGTGTGTGTGTGTGAGACATCGTATGACTTCAGAAGACTAGGAATATTGTGCACAAATTTTCTGAAGAACATCTCCGTTTGTGCTGCATGGAAAAGTAACAGCATATGAGTTTGAAATAGCAGGAGTAAATGATTAATTTGAATTTTTGGGTGAACTATGCCTTTAAGACTGGGTATATCATCATCAGTGCTTGAGCTTGTGTGTGCGTGTGTGTGTGTGTGTGTTGGAGAGTGACAATTCATACTAAGGTTTACTTTCTACAAGAACCACATCAAACCTCTTTCAGTAATTATTTGTAGTTTATATGAGTATTTAATTAAAATTAATTGAATACAAAATAAACTAAGTATACAAAATATATTGTACTAATACTGTAGAATAAAAAAATGAGTAAAATATATATTCCATTAATTTCTTAATTTTCAAATGGTAAACACTCAAGCTTTTATTTTGGCGGGTTGTGGCTGCTGTTTTGAGAGTGAAGTTTGGCTCCGTGTTCGTTCACACACGTGAAGCCCATGATCTCAGGGTCTCAGAGCGGCTCGCATCACAGTAAATGAACCCAGAGACACTGAAACACTGTATTATGAGCTTCTTGTGTGGAAATGCCTTTTCTTCAGACGATGAGGGTAAAACAGGTTTATTTGTGTTGTGTTTAATTTAGCATTGAGGGTGAGTAAATCATGGGGTAATTTTCATTTTTGGGAGAACTATCCCTTTAAGTCAGCGTTCCTGTTCTCATCCCAGAGACTGCTGTAGGATTTTAAGGCTTTGACTGCATTCGTTGTGTTCAAAAGTGAGCGTTAAATCCAGCACTGATATGTTGTTTTTGAGGACGATGGCTTCACACAGCTTATCTGTCTGTCTGATTTGTTTTTTTCTACCAACAAACTGATGACTTTGTTCTGAAACACAGTCTGACTGGATTCATGACCTTCAATAAAGAAAGGGAATCACGGTCTGTATGAAATAGTGTGGATCTGTGGTCAGACGTGTTGTGTGTAATGAACAATATCTGTCTGTGCTCTCTGATATATCCGCTCGGGCCAGAATGAGTGTAAGATCAGCCATCAGTCGTTCTCTCACCTGTTGAAACGCGTGTGAAGCGCTCCGTCTGATATTAGATTGTGTTGTAGTGAAGGTTATTTAGAGTGTGTCTAATTAAAATCACAGCAGGTTCAGAGCGTGAAATCTCTCCTGTGACATTCTGACAGTCTTTCTTTAGCTGTGAAGAAACCGGATAACACTCAAACATCAGAAAAACTGCTGCACATTAAACGTGTGTCTGTTACTGCTGCTGAGGAAGAGGATGAGGAGAAACACGTTTAAGAGAATAGTTCAGCCAAAAAAGTTTGTTTGTTCATCAGGTTTGTAGAAATGTAGCATTGCATCAGTGTCTCAGCAATGGATGCTCTGCAGTGAATGGGTGCCGTCAGAATGAGAGTCCAAACAGCTGTTAAAAACATCACAATAATCCACAAGTAATCCACAGCACTCCAGTCCATCAGTTAACATCTGGAGAAGACAAAAGCTGAAACAAATAAGATGTTTTTAACTAAATTATGAGTCCATAATCCATAATAAGGCTTCCTCCAGTGAAAAAGTGTTCTGGTCTGAATCAGGAGAGAAATCTGCACAGATCAAGCAGCGTTCTAAACAAATATGTGGCTGGATTTTGATGCGAGAGACAACAGGAGATGCACTTTTTCACTGGAGGAAGCGTTATTATGGATTATGGACTCAATGTATTTTAGTTAAGGGTGCTGTGTGTACATTAATGAGGAAAAAAAATTAACTTAAATGATTTTAGCAAATGGCTGCAATATAACAAAGAGTGAAAAATTTAAGGGGGTCTGAATACTTTCCGTACCCACTGTATATATATATATATATATATAAAATTTTTTATTTTTTTGCAGACACACCTTTTACAACATTTGTAAACTTAGAAAATGCTTTTATCCAAAGCGACTTACAAAAGAGGAACATAAGCAATCAGTCAAGCAGTCAGCGATATTCATGGCAGGTTTATGGAAGGTTGTGATGTTCTCAGCGGATCGGTGGAGGTTTGCAGCAGAGAGGGGGAAGGGTCTGTGAGATGACTCTGGGACACACCGCGTGATTTAGGATTCAGTATGTTCAGCTTCACATGTTTCTGGGATCACACTGATGATGATGATGGTATGTGTGTGCGTGTGTGTGTGTGCGTGTGTGTGTTAACTGATGGACTGGAGTGCTGTGGATTATGGTGATGTTTTTATCAGCTGTTTGGACTCTCATTCTGACGGCACCCATTCACTGCAGAGCATCCATTGCTGAGACACTGATGCAATGCTACATTTCTACAAACCTGATGAACAAACAAACTCATTCTGATCTCTGATGAACTGAGGGTGAGTAAAACTTCAGAAAATGCTCATTTTTAAGTGAACTCTTCCTTCAGTAAGATGGTATTTACAGCTGGTTATGTTTCTCCTGTGCTGCAGCGACGGATTCCTCTGCATTAATTCCTCTTGTACATACTAATCACATACTAATGAATGTTAATTAAACAGTGTTAATTATTGAAAGCGTTCTTCTTTAGGTCAGATCTATCAGTGTTAATATGTTTCTGGTCTCACACTGCAGCAGTAGTGCTCGTGGTCTGATGCTGGCTTGTATTCACGGTCTCTGGCGATCTGTCTGTTTCTCTCATGGTTTGGATCAGAGAGGGATTTCCCGACGCTCCTCTCGTCTCAGATCCGGTCTCTGCTGACGGATTCCCTCATGTGTGTCGAGGGAGGGAGAGAACAGAGACGAATGAAGCTCGTATGATTCGGTGTCATTTTAAAAGGCCAGTGAAGTTATTGCTGTTTTATTTTCAGGATTCTTATTCTAGTTTTTCTTTGTCTTTCTGACAGTACGCTGCAAATGAAATAAAAGAGATGGACATTTATATAATTGGCTGCAGATTCTCTTCAGCTCTTCATTTCTTTCTTTCATCGCTCAATTAATGGTTCAGAATGAGTCTGTGTCATTTCCCTTCATTATGTTTTCATGGAGAGTTGCGCCGCCCTGCTGGACGCCACAAGAGGACACAATATAATCAATATATATGTGTGTGTGTGTGTGAGAGAGTGTGTGTGTATATATGTGTGTGTATATATATATATATATA